GTACAGATTTCAACAATTCTCTGCCAAAGACAGAACTATAGTGAATACTACTAGCTTGCTATGAAACATAATGTTGAACTAATAATTTAAGAACCGTCAATCACATCATGATGCTCATTGCAACCCTCTGAAACTAAATATGATCAATGAAGTTTCAAAAATCAGGTTTCAAACAAAATGTATCTTACCTCCAAAGTAGTAAGTGTTTCCCGAAAGGATTTGTATCGGTATTGATGCATGAGAGGAAGAGCTTGCGTCATTATCTACTATTAAGCTTACACGGTTCTTTTTAGCTGACAATGAAACCGAATGCCACTGTCCATTATGCAGCCCAGCACCTAGAAGAAGAAGAAAGAATTTCAAGCAATATTACAAAGAACAATATGGATTAGCTTCCATAACCTTTACCACTACTGAGAAAAAGCGAGGAATCAGGAAGCATTTAATGTCAGCTTCTGTCAATCAGCCGCCTCTCCTTTTTTCTTTGTTGTTGCCTTCTTTCCTGCTATTCAGAGATGGATTCAATATACAGTGTGATTCTGCATAAGTTCTAGTGAACAATTCTGATCATCAGAAGTCATGTTATTTCATTGTATTTTATTTTACGTAAACATCTATAGCCTGATCCCAGAGCTGCTTACAAAGCCATAAAAACACAAGATATTTAAAACAATTTAAACTCAAACAGAATTAAAACACTCAAACATTAAAAACATTGCACTAAAGCCTGTGCAGCCCATGATCCTCAATGCCCGATGGTTCTAATAAGTAACTATGTCTTGAGTTTGTGCTGAAATGATGCCCGTATCAATGCCAATCAAGCTTCCGAGGGGACGTCATTCCAGAGTCTGGATGCGACAGCAAAAAAGAAACCTTTTTTTAAAATGTAAACAATCAATGAACAGAGTATTTGATGCACAGGAAAGGAAATACTGATTGGGCAACAACCTGAATTATCCAAAGACACCTTCAATTAGTGCCCTAACATGCCTGTCCATCGGAGAAATTGACAAATAACTACTGAAATAACATAATGAACCATATCCAATGCGTTGATACATGCATACTCATGGTGATGCCAAATATCCATAGGTGCATCATTGCCATCAGGCAATAAATCAACAACAACAACAACAACAACAACAACAACAATAATAATAATAATGTATTAATAGTATTCAAGTCAGTTTTCTGGTTTTAACTATGAAGTTTTAATAGCCTAAATTCTGTTGTTTAGTGTGGTAAATTGCACAAGAGTAGACCCAGTCAATCAATAAGGATTTGTTGACTCCTCCACAAATTCCATTGATTCATATAGGCGTACTTAACTACAAGTTCCCTTAGATTCCTTACTATGCTAAAGTCTGAATTAATGGAATTTACAGAGGACTTAACTAATTACCCATTGATTTAATGGGCCCATTTTAGTGTGATTTAATAACAGGGTTTTGGAGGAGTAGACCCAGTCAATCAATAAGGATTTGTTGACTCCTCCACAAATTCCATTGATTCATATAGGCGTACTTAACTACAAGTTCCCTTAGATTCCTTACTATGCTAAAGTCTGAATTAATGGAATTTACAGAGGACTTAACTAATTACCCATTGATTTAATGGGCCCATTTTAGTGTGATTTAATAACAGGGTTTTGGCCAATAAACAAGTTCCATTGGCTGAAATTGTGTTGATTGTGTAATTTGCAGTAGAGTAAACCAATTGAACCAGCGGAAGGGGTTCAACTATTCTAGTTGCAAATTATTAAGCTACATAGCAGCTGCTGCCTGATATTCTGTTCTTTGGCAGGATGCCAGGGCAACAGCTATATAAGGCAAATGTACAAAGAACATTATATTTCAAAAGGGATAGTCATCCTATGCTCACCACAACCATTTGTAGTTTAATGAAACTTTTATGACAAAAGTAGATTAAAACAATCCTAAATTTTGATCTTCTTAAAGTTTATCAAAGTCTAAAGTTAATAACTGGTAAATTTTAAACGTATCTAATATCTTCCTTTAAAACCTCTATCTTTTGAAATACCAGGTGTCCAACTGACAACCAGGGAGAAATTACGTATATAAAGATCCTCCTACATTAGAAAGGTGTGCTTTATTGCAAGCTAATCATTTATAAATTTACTGGTCATTTTTCTCTGTTTTAATGCAGACAAAAAGATCTGTATGAATCGTTGATAACAAAGTCTCAGAAGTGTGCTCAAAGTAATATGCTCTGATTTAATTATCACATATTGTATGTGTGAAAGCCAGGCCATAAGTCTTTGCCCGTAGGGGAAGAAACCTGTCCAACCATCCATAATTTAATTACTCAATCTCCAGTTGCAGACTTGATTTGCTCCAATGAATGTAGCTACGGTAAACACTTCAAAGACACCAGGAAAAAAAAGGAAGTTCACAGTATGGTTTTGTTAGATAACTTTCTGCTGAGGAAAGCAGGAGTCTTATAGAAAGATTTAACATTCTACAGATGCTACAGCAAACAAACTTCAATTTGCAATCATACAGGCTTTCTACCCTCAGTCACATGATATAAATAACATAAATTCTGCCTCAACACAGCACTTTGATTTTTGTTGTTAGGGAGCCTCAGGTTGTTGGAGAATATTTTACAGATTTTGATTCATGTTTGTAGTTCAGGAGTTTGTCAGAAACGCATGTCAGGAAGCCAGTTAAAACTGACAGTGCATTCCGGAAACCTGTTAGAAGAGGCGCTGAACTAAGATGGTGTCATTAACATGCATGTAATTGCGCTGTGATTTAAACTGCTCCAGAGGAAGTCAGATACATCACAGTAAACTGCACATCAATGACACTCTTACCACAAAATTAACATTTTCAGAAGGTGAGCCCAGGGAAACCTGTTAGTTATAAATTGGCAGATTCCTTCCATTATTTATTTGAGTTAGTTAGCATACATAGCAACTGATCCTGCTGCTACTAAAATCAACAGAAAGCCTTCCTTTCTAGGATGAACACCTTATGTAAATTACCAACTGGAGGCTGAAGCGCTCCTGGCAATGAGTCCATTCTTTCAAATGTTGTACTTCCGTTGTCATTCATTATGCAAACTTGTAATTTTTGAGATATGGAAACTTATTGGAACAAAATTGGACTTCTACCCTGCTATCTACATAGCACAGATGTTCTACATGAGAAGACTCAACAAGATCTGAGCAAGAGTTTACTACAAGACTTCAGAGAAGGGCTTAGGGTGTTTGAATTGGTAGTTTCAATTCTAGCCATTGAAATATGTTTTGTTAGGCTTGCTCACGTTTCTAATTTTGCTAAAAACAGGACTGGTCTTTCTGGGCATGACTAAAAAAGGCCAGTGCTCTTTTCAGTCATTCATATGAGCCTCGTGGCGCAGTGGTTAAAACGCTGTACTGGAGCTAAAACTGTGCCAATTTTGCTAAAAACAGGACGTGTCTTTCTGGACATGACTAAAAAAAGGCTAGTGCTCTTTTCAGTCATTCATATCTTCCTAGGCACCATTTGGCTGTCCTAGTCTTCAAGAAAGATGGCTAAGCTACATCATTACCCTAGTAACACAAGCATTATGCTGCTTAGTATCAGTATCTAGAGAACGCAATCAGAAGGGTGCTACTTGACTCAGGTCCATTGAAATATGTTTTGTTAGGCTTGCTCACGTTTCCAATTTTGCTAAAAACAGGACGTGTCTTTCTGGACATGACTAAAAAAAGGCTAGTGCTCTTTTCAGTCATTCATATCTTCCTAGGCACCATTTGGTTGTCCTAGTCTTCAAGAAAGATGGCTAAGCTACATCATTACCCTAGTAACACAAGCATTATGCTGCTTAGTATCAGTATCTAGAGAACACAAGCAGAAGGGTGCTACTTGACTCAGGTGCTGCTAGGGACTTCCCATGAGCATCTGCTTGATGTACGGTTGACCCAGCAAGGCTCTTGTTATGTTCTCATAAGCTACTACACAGATTTCATTCAAGTTTGATTGGTTCTTTACCCTATCCCCTTTGTGCATTCCAAACATATGTACTGCACCAGGTAGTATCAATTGCATAGGCAGATTCCTCCATGTCATGACACTGGTATAGGAGAATTCCATGTAGGCATTCAGTTAATGCCGATAGAAGGAAGAGTAGAGCCTTAGATGGGTTCACTAAATCTGGAATCTGAACAACTTATAGCTCAAATGGGGATACCTGCATTTTATCTCCAACAGTTCACAACCAATACAGCTTGGGAAACTCACAGTTTATAATAAGCATACTACACATTAAGTGAACATTACAGCACTATAGTACATTATAAGCTACTATATTCAAATATCCTGACAAAATGCAGTGTAGTTACATATTACAAAGTTTTGACAGTAAGTTTTATGTTCTGAGCTATATTTGATCATAGGTATGAAATACACAGTGAAGCTGAAAATATTTGGTAAATTTTCAACTGTGCACTTAAGCAGATCTAAGAAAATCACAAGCTCTTTCGTTATCCCAATTGCAAAGGTTAATCAAAGATGTCATATCACAATTATTTTCTCTTTTACTTTCTGTTTACCTGCAGTGATATCGGTCTGTCCCTTTCCAGGCTTATACAGGCTCAATTTAACCTTCCCATCACTCAGATACATAAGGAGGCCACCTGAAGTCTGATATAGTTTACTTGACAGCAAAAGGCCTTCATTGTTCCAGGTCCGAAACTGAAAACTGATTGAAATGTCGTCTTGGCCTGATGTACCTGGCAATGCTAGATAGCTGTTGGGGTTCAAAAAGGTGACAGGAATAACTGGGGGCTCTGAACAGGAGAAAGATATATTGCCCTGGAAATAAATAAAATAAACAGAACATTAGATGAATGCAGTAACAATTTTAACTATATTTTAGCCTACACCTGTTATGGTTAATTAGGTCTAGAGCTGAAGATAATGTTTGCATTTAGCTTTCTTATTCTAGTCCAAGATGAAGATAGAATAAATAATATCATTTCCACACATGAGTATAGAATCGGTTACAATATGAAGCATCTGTTTAATCATCTCTCTTAGTCAAAGTAGTCAACTGTTGCCTAGGCAGAATCATAGTAAACATGCTAATAATAATCACATGCCATCAAGCTAATTCTGGGTTATTGTGACCCTTTTCAGGGTTTGCCAGGTAGAGAATATTCAGAAGTGGTTTACCAGTCCCTTCTTGTCAGGGCGCCCTGGGACTGCAGCCTTGCACATGATCTGGCTCTACTCACAGGAGGCACAATGGGGAATTGAGCTCCCAAACTCTGTCTCTGAAGGCAAAATCGAAACCACTGAGCTACTGAGTCACTCCGTCTCTGAAGCCAAAATCGAAACCACTGAGCTACTGAGTCAGATTTAAGACAGAGCTGATTTAATCAGACTGGTGGCCTCAGCAGGATGCAGCGATCAAGCTCATCACCAGGAAAGAGGTAGGTGTTCGTCAACTAATCATTCCACCAAGTAACCACACATACGCCAACCATGAGGACCCAGCCATCTATAATGGTAACCAACTGTACCATTTTTCTCTAGGAAATAAATACAGAAAGAAATGTTCTTTGCTTGAAGGTAGGAGCATTGAATGCTAGGCACAGAAAATTGAAAGTGAAATGCGGTGCTGACCTTCGTCCTGGTAGCATCTAGATTAGTGTTTCCCAACCTTTTCCAAGTCATAACCCCCTTTTATAATTGCCAAGTAACCAGACACCCTCTTGCCACGTTTGCATAAAAAGACATTTTTAGTGGGATAAAGAAAATACTGTACATCAAAACAGATTTTTTTTCCAGAATATAAATCTAACCTAATCTGTTAATATTATTGTAATAATACATAATTATGGGTGTGTGTGTAAATATGCCTGCACCAGATAAAATGTAAGAGGAAATATGCTTTGAGTTTAATTTAATAGTTTGGTATTAACGACCTTCCGTTCATATCTCCTCCCCCCCCAGGTTGTCAACCTGTAATCTAGATTTTCACAGTGTGCTGTGTATGATATCAAATCGCAGACCAGATATGAGCCTTTGGAACAGTTTTTACACACACTGGGGTCCCAATGTGAAGGCTACTGTGTGCAGTGAAATGTACACACTAACTGTTCTTTCTTCAAAAGCTACAACCAGTATGATTCAAGCAAACTGAGGCAGAAATTCTCTCCATATCGAGGCCTCTACATGTAATTTTCTTGTACAGCCATTCTCCTTAAAATTGGATTGAATCAAGCTGTTAGCAACTGTCAACATTTTGAAGATATTATTTTTTTGGGGGGGGGAGAAGGAAGGAAAAAAAAATTAAAGGCTTCAACATAGCCAAAAGATTTGAAAACACCCATTACATCTTGTTGGTATGGATGATTATGAGAGAAGAAAATTAATTTTCCTCCTTGTGCTTTGGAGACATTAGCCCTCTAGGACAGTGATTCCCAACCTTGGGTCCCCAGATGTTCTTGGACTGCAATTCCCAGAAGCCTTCACCACTAGCTGTGCTGGCCAGGATTTCTGGGAGTCACAGTCCAAGAACATCTGTGGAGCCAGTATTGGGAACCAGTGCTCTAGGCAAGAGATATGATACAGGTCACAGAGCATAGGGAACAATAAAGAACCCTAGCTGCTAAAAAGGTTTCTAAAAAAACCAAAACAGTAGTGCCAGAGGAAGTTGTGAAAAAAAATGGAGAGTGGAACTTTAACACAAAGGCATTGGACTGGAGATATGTTCAGTATGCTGGCATTCTAAGATTGCACTGTTGAATAACTTTAGCCAATATTTCTTCCTCTCTCAATTCTCCTTCTTCCCAGCCCCCCAAATTAACAGAATGCAATTAAAACATGTACCTATTAAAACTGCACAAAGAACATCAAATACAATTTAGTAATCAGGGCACATGCTATTTGACAATATATGTTTTATAAAAGCATGCTACCAGCTAGGGCAGATGGCCACTTTTTCTAAGCTTAGGCAATTGTGGTTTAATGAAAGAAGCAATTGTGTCTTTATGAAACTGGTGGATGCCCATCTTCTAAAGAAAAGTGTAACTGGCTAGCAGCTTTGATCAGTACAACCCCATCCCCCATCATCTTTGCCCAGTTTTGCCTTGTCAGAACTATGCAGTGGCAGAGAAAGTCTGGTCCCAGATAAGTTACACTCTTGATTCCAAATAAGAGGGGTCGCATAGGCATTCTCCAGTCTCGAGAGACCATGGTAACATGCTCTGTATCAAGGAGTGTCCTCTCCAGAGCATGAAGCCTGAGTAAAGTAATATGGAGGATAGGCTGTTACTCAAGCAGCAGAACCCCCCACTCCACGTTGCTGAAATGGTCCAATGGAAAGGCAAGAGCCAATACAACTGGTTCCAGCAATGTCGCAGGAGTTGGCAGAACAAAACGAACTGCCTGCGGGACTCCAGCTCCGGATTTTGCTATAAGTTAACTCCTGAGGGGTCACATAAATAGAGTATATAATAATTATATGTTGTTTGGATTTCAGAAAGGTTTTCTCTGGAGCATGATAGAACAATAGCAAATTATTCAAGGAATATGAGCACAGTCCAGTTAATTCGCAGTAAAAGTTTTTAAGTTTTGTTACTGAATTTACATAAGAACATAAGAAGAGCCCTGCTGGATCAGGCCAAGGGCCCATCTAGTCCAGCTTCCTGTGTCATACGGTGGCCCCACCAGATGCCTCTAGACAACTAGATGCCAGTCTCCTGATCCCCCTCCCCTGCATCTGGCATTTGGAGGTACCTTCCTCTGAAGCCCGGAGATTGTACATCCCCATCATGGCTTGTAACCTGCAACATACTTTTCCTCCAGGAATCTGTCCAATCACCTTTTAAAAGCAGCTAGGTCAGATGCCCCTTCATGGATTGCTGCCTTGTCGTGGCGAAGGGGCTTGGGTAACTCAGAAAAGCTATGGGCTATGCCGTGCAGGGACACCCAAGATGGACAGGACATAGTGGAGAGTTCCGACTAAACGCAATCCACCTGGAGTAAGAACTGGCAATGCCACTCCAGTATCTTTGCCAAGAATGCCCCGTGATCAGAAACAAAAGGCTAAAAGATATGACGCTGGAAGATGGGACCCTCAGGTCGGAAGGCGTCCAACATGCTAGTGAGGAAGAGTGGAGGACAAGTACAAGTAGCTCCAGAGCTAATGAAGTGGTAGGGCCAAAGCCGAAAGGACGCTCAGCTGTGGACGCGCCTGGAAGTGAAAGGAAAATCCAATGCTGCAAAGAAAAATACTGCATAGGAACCTGGAATGTAAGATCTATGAACGTTGGGAAGCTGGAGGTGGT